TACATAACCAATAAAGCATATATAAATTCTACGTAAATTTTACAATAGCTGACATACGTAAATTCTACGTGGAATAATCTTGGAAGTGGATGAAGCAAAGGACACGAGAGAAAGGAATGGTGTGCCACTTTTTATATATTATATTCTTCTCTCTTCTTCTTTTTTCCCTCTAAAAAAAGAAACACTAATTTATTTTGGTTTTAGCCTATCTGGGGAGTACGTTTCGAAAGCAAAACATACTTATCTTTTTTATGGTTTACGCGTTGCAAACTTTATTACACATTCTAATAAAAGTGGTATATGCTGGTAGAGGCTTTTGTGTACGATTTGTATATATTTCCACTATGCAAGTGGGAGGCACACAGCTTTTTTGTTCAATTCAAATATTATTCTTCAAATAACCTAAGGAAAAACAGATAATATGAGCAACTAGAGATGCAGTTTGTAGGTTTATTGCCATCAATACGTAATTTCAATATTCAATGTGTATTCCAGAATAATATCATTTTTCAATTACTCAACCACTTCATTTTACCAAGTTTAATGTTAGCCAGATTAGTCAACATTTATCTCTTTCGATGCAATAACAAAATCTTATTTGTAACAAGTGATTTTATTGGTTGGTTAATTCATAATTGTCACATGTTATTCATGAAATGACTTGGTATTATTCTCGATACAACAAAATCATTCTATTTGATCTGAGAAGTACATTCTTACTAATAAATACCTTGTGTTAGAATTGAGAAATTATATAGCTCGGATATTTACTATTCTTTTATTTATTATATGTGTTTAATAGTTAGTGGATTCAAAATTAAATAATTATATTTTTTACTAATTTTTCTAATACAAGTACAAATCTAAAGAAAAACTATTGAATTTATCGGAATCCATAATATTGTAGCTCCGCCACTGGGCCACCGGTGATTCTAGACGCACGAGTTAATCATTCAGCATGAAGCCAAACAATGTGTTGCTTTTAATTGCAAAAGTATTAATTAGTTATTTGACCATTCAACCTAAGCCACTCTTATTATTACAGTTATATATAGCAGCAGCACTGGTTTTGAATGTTAAGAGGTTGCTATCATTAGTCTTTTTGCAGTCTCATTCCTAAAACTAGACCATCCTCTGGTCCCTCACTCGCCGTGCCTCTAGCCCTTAGGGTTGTAGAAAGTAATGAACATAGAGTATACTGAAGAAATAAATTAATGATATGGTCTACAATTAGGCTTTATTATACTAATATTAATGCATTAAATCTTTGATTGGACTTGTCTAAAGTGGTCCATACAGATTTGTTTTAATCGAAAAGGAAAAAGGAAAAAATGCATGTTGAAAGAAACTACATATTGATAAAAGAGATAATTACGTGGATAAATGTTTTGTCGGCATCATTTTTGGCTGGTCTTAGTTGATGTAATTACATTAGAAACTAAATATTCAATATCTTCAATTGCACAAGTTTTCTTTTAAAAGGTTTTAATTTCGACGAAGATATATTAGTATATCATATGCGAGTATGTTTAGCTGACACGAGCATGGATTCATTCTCCAATAAGAATATTGATGCACTATTTTACTATCGGGTGGATTTAGAATCAATTACTCAAATGATCATTCAACTATTTTAAATTATCTCCTAAAATTATTTTTCTTTTCCTTGTAACAATAAAGTCACTGAACTATGCATATTGCACTCAGAAGGTCACTCAACTAGATTTTTCAAATTTTGAATTATCAAATACCTTTTTTTTTACCCTCTAAATTATAAACATTTATCTTCTTTTATTTTTTTAAAACTTTTTAATATTATAATTTTTCCTTTTTAATTTATATTATGGACTTACCTATAGAATAAATAAATATTATTTATAAATTAAAAAAAATATTTAAGAATTTATAATGCTGGAATAACAAAATAATGAACATAGTAACAAAATTAATTAGAATAATTTATCGTAAGAATAATTTTAGTATTAACAAAAAAAATTAAAAATATTATTTACACAATTCATAATAAAAGTTGTAAAATATATATTTCATATACATAATATAAAATAATTATTTAAATAAAAGTATTTTTATAATATACATTTTATATTTTTGAAAATTATGCTCAATTATATTATATGAATTTCATGCGCGACTTAACATAGCATATTTTACTCTATACTGATAGTCCCCCTGCTTTCCGGTGACATAACTTTGTCGTCGGAAAGTTGGTAGAAACATAATAATATAATTGAGCATAATTTTCAAGAATATCTAATGTATATTATAAAAATACCTTTATTTAAATAATTATTTTATATTACGTGCATGGAATATATATTTTACCACATTTATTTTCTTTCATTCTGAATTTTGTAAATAAATTTTTGAATTTTTGTTGTTAATACTAAAATTTTTATTACTAACAAATTATTCTAATTAATTTTTTTTACTATGCTCATTATTTTATTATTCCAGCATTATATATGCTTAAATACTTTTTAGTTTTTAATTTATAAATAATATTTATTTGTTCTATAGGTAAGTCCATAATATAAATTAAAAAGGGAAAAATCATAATATTAAAAAGTTTAAAAAAATAAAAAGAAGATAAATGTTTATAATTTAGAGGGTAAAATAGATATTTGGCAATCAGAAATTTGGAAAATCTAGTTGAGTGACCTTCTGAGTGCAATAGGCATAGTTCAGTGACTTTGTTGTTACAAACGAAAGAAAAGTGACTTTAGGAGATAATTTGAGATAGTTGAGTGACCATTTGAGTAATGGACTCGGCGGATTTAGGGGTGGAAGGGGTCACCCGAACTTCCTTCGCCGGAAAATTACACGGCACATTTGTACCTCTATATTTTATATTTTGAATCTCTTTGACACAATCCAAAAGCTTAGCTTAGTGGTCAAGGGGGTTTAGTATCTTTTAATGTCGTTAATTCAATTCCCTTCTAGCCACATTCTTTTTTAATTTTTTATTTTTTTTTTGAACCCCCTTAACAAAAGTCCTGCATCTGCCACTGATTTTACACTAATTGATTGCTTTAGTTTTTTCTATATTCATCAATAATATTCTTAACACCAAACTGTTATGGAATTATTTGAGATATGAGTACTGTTAGATCATTCTTCTTTAATTTGCTTTCTAGAAAGAAATAAAGAGATAGGATGTTACACACCATAGGGGTGCGGCTAATCCGCCGACAATTTAATTATGTCCAATCGATAAACCTAATGATAATGACATTAAGATGTGGTTCTGACCGTTTAATAATTTAATACACTTTGGTCTTGAAAGTTACTGTTATCTTCCAAGAATATGATTGTAAAGATTAAAAAAAATTGATGAAAAGTGGAGGATTAGGGCATTATGCTACAAAAAGTTTGATTAGATGAATAATTTAAACAAGCCTTCATTGACAAGTTTCTTGCGTGGATAGATATATGGACAATGACTTTGACGCATTGTAGAAATCTACATTGTAATTACACCTTAGTTTCTCTCACTTCCCATCACGATGACTAGGAATGATTGCGATTATATTAACTAATCTTTCCATAATCCCACACTTGCCCAATCGATATAGTTGAGATAAAAAATATAACAACTAAACATAAACTAACTGGCATTAGCAAAGCTTCCACAACCTTCATCTATTAGTTCGCTTTTTTTTCTATGTACAACCATAAATTCAGATTTGAAAAGAACAATTGAGCAAGTAATATTCCCTCATACCACTTCCAAAAGTTTGGTGTCAATTTTAATTATCATTAAAAAAGTTTGTGCATCGGCTATAATTTGAGGTACTTATTTATAAAATATTCTCGTCATAACTTGCACATTCCTGAGCCGAGGTTTCTATCTCTTAATTCTCACAAAGTAAGGGTAAAGTTTGCGTACACATTATCCTTTTCAGAACTCCATGGTGTGGGATAATATTGGGTATATTATTGTTGTTGTTATCACTTGCACAAGTTTGCACGTCAATTATAATTTGAGACATCTGAAATAATTCATAGGAGCTATTACATAACACATGCATACTAAGATGGAGTTGAGGCGTATCTCACCTGGTGAATCTTTTGTCTTCTATAGTTGGGATGGTGGGTTCAAATTTCATCAGTAGCGTAATATGCTCCTTCTCTCTTCCCTTCACCTCTCCTGATGTAATGAATGGGATTTGATTACTATCTTTATCTCAAGATTTTATATGGAGAGTGATAAAAGAAATTTAAATATGTAACCACATAATATTGTAGCCCATATCTACTACATGGATGGTATGTATTGTTCATATTCTGGTATATCATACACCTATTTTAATTATTTTAAACACCTTTTAATTGTTGGTGTTCTGTTTAACCTTTTTAATAATTTTTTGGACAAAAAACACTTTTGTATTACTTTAAAAAAAAAGTTATATAAATGAGTAAAACAGAGTATTATACTGCGAGTTACTTTAACGGAAATTTTGCCGTTAAAGTAATTCGCAGTATAGTACTGTGTTTTACTTAAAAAAAATTTTTTTTTTTGTAATTTGCAGTACTATACTGCGTTTTACTAAGATATATTTGTAAAACGCAATATAATAATGCGTTTTACATTAAATAATTGCGTTGTACTCTGGTTTTTGCCCCCA